CGGGCTGAGGGACCCCCCCCCCCAGTGCACAAATTTTTGTGCACCGGGCCTCTAGTATTATTATAAAATAGGTAAATTTTATTAAATATCCAGCAATAAAACATTATTTTTTTTTAATTTCAAATCATATGTCACAAATTTATTTGGACACCTTCAGTGTATTATTTTTGACTATTTCATTTCATTAAACATGGTAATAACTTTTTTTGTTTTTAAGGTACAGCAGGGAAGAACTGGAAATTCAGAAAAGGAAGCAGCCCTTCCATCTACAAAAGCTGAGTTTACTTCTCCTCCTTCTTTGTTCAAGAGTGGACTCCCACCAAGCAGGTTAGTGAGATTATTATAACTCAGTTTATTGAAGGCATTGGTATCTTCTCCATGTATTAGTGCTATCTATACTAATAAAAGGGTAATATGCTAATTAGACCGGACATCTTCCAGACGTCTTTCCGGACAAAGCCACAGTTGTGGGGGCCCAGGCAGAGGTAGTTAGGGGCGATCAGGCCAGCAGGGGAGAGCAGTTAGGGGGCGATCATGCTGGCAGTCAGAGACGATTAGGGGCAATCAGGCCATCAGGGGAGCAGTTCGGGGGCGATCAGGCTAGCAGGCAGAGGTGGTTAGGTGCAGTCAGGCCGGCAGGCAGAGGCAGTTAGGAGTGATCAGGCCGGCAGGCAGGCAGGCAAGCAGTTAGGAGTCAGTGGTCCCGGCCTAAACTGGCAGTCGGACATCGCCCAAGGTTCCCGGATTGGAGAGGGTGCAGGCTGGGCTGAGAGACCTCCCCTGCCCCCATGCACGAATTTCATGCACCGGGCCTCTAGTTTTAAATTATAAAAGCTCTGAATGTGCTACCAAAAAAACTGAAAGCATTCTATTTTGTTTCAGTACAAAATGAATTCATTTTGAAAAACTTACCTGGGTGCTGGTCCTTCTAAAAAAATATAAACAAGTGAGAAATGAAGTATAGTATATAGTTATATGTGTGTATAGAGACAATTTTACATTCAGGAGAGGTGGTGCTTAGTATTCTTATATAAAGAACTAGTGACCAGTTATATGAAATTACGCAAGAACGGGGACCTCTCCCCCCCGCGCCAAGGGACCGCCCTGAGTCCTGGAGTGCTGCCCTGATGCCCCGCCTCCAGGCTGCATGCAGCAGCTGCCGGGCCCCACTCCTGCGGCGCGCATGCGAGGCTGTGGAAACACTGGCAGAAGTCGCGTAAAGCGGCCACTGGGACCCCACGGCATGCGTGTGAAGATCCGAGGAAACCGCGGCGGAAGCCGGACGGAGCAGCCGCTGGCCCTGCCCCATGCTGCCCTGCTCGCACTGTGCACGCCACCATCTTGTGACGGCGTTATGGTGTGAGGGTTAATTTGCATATTACCACTTAATTATATAGGATTATTGGACTACTTTAAATCCAGATCTATTCTCCTAAAGGCATTTTACTGATTTTTAGTAACAGATTGTAGAAATTTCAGTCTGGGAGATGTTTCATATTAAAAACATGTTCTTTTCTTTCCTTGGTTTGTTGTGATAATATCTAACTTTTAAGTTCCTCAAGATATCAATTGTAAGAGGTAAATATGCTGGAAGATGTCCTTTTAATTTAAACATGATAAATAGCTAGCCTATTAGCAGGAAAATAGTAATGGATTAGATAAGACTAAGGAAGTTTGATGTTAGCAGTTTAATGTGTTAGATTTAACACATTAAAAAACTTGACTTAAATCAGTTATTTCTTTGAGCCTGAAAATTAGTTAATAACCCAACTATTACTAGTTCTTAGCCAGATCATTTACCTTTTGTGTTACTTGTTTATATTTATTTTATACAGTTCTCTGTTTTGTTATTCTGCAATTATGAATTGCTGTGAGATTATATTTTATAATATACAAATGTAGGAAGAGACCTTATGTAGTTTAGCCCTGAAATAGTTTCTTGAAACTTTTAGCTAAAATTAAATGTCACAAAGCCATTGGAATTTGACTATCTCTTCTCATCTTAATTACTGGTGATAGGCATTTCCAAATATGATTATTTAAACTAAATGCAGTTTCATAAAATGTTTGGCTAAGAACTTATGATAGCAGAGAAATATTGATTCTTTTAATATGTTTTTATTCTTTTGTTTTTGTTTTTCATATTTTAAAAGAAATCAATTTTCATTCATTGAATTTATGGTATTCTACAGTGTAGAGTGATGTTAAGAGCTTGGACTCTAGAGCCCAAACTTTAAATTCTGGCTTTGTTGATTTACTAGCTGTGTGTCCTTGGGCAGATCTCCTAATCTTGTTCTTTCATTTTCTGATCCATAAAACATAGTAATAATACTTCTCTTACAGGGTAGTTATGTATATTAAATGGATTAATTTTTGTAAAGTGTTTTAGAACAGTGGTACATCCATACATAGTAAATAAATACTCTATGGATGTAAATATGCTATTATTATAATTAAACTAAACTATTTAAAAATCAATAGCAGTTTTTCTGTACTTTGCCTACCTCTCACTCCTCCCCCCCTTTTTTTAAAAAACTTGGGCCAGATTATGTAGAGCATTATAAGGGCTTTGGTTTTCCTATAAATGAAATGAATGGGGTGTTGCCAGCAGATTTTGAGCAGAGGAATGGAATAATCTCCTTTAGGTTTTTAAAGTCTCAACTGCTATATTAAGATCAGACTACAGATATATTAAGGGCAGAAACTGGGAGGCTGGTTAGACAGTTATAACGATTATCTAGGCAAGGGATAATGGAACTTGGACCAATGTAATAATGGTGCAGATGATGAGAAATAGCTAGATATTGGATACATTTCTAGAGGTATACCAGTAAAAGATCGTGTACATCTTTTATACTGAGATGGAAATGACTACAGGAGGGCTCATTTTGCAGGGAGAAGACTGAAAGTTCAGTTTAGTACAGTGGTCAGCAAACTCATTAGTCAACAGAGCCAAATACCAGTAGTACAACGATTGGAATTTCTTTTGAGAGCCAAGTTTTTTAAACTTAAACTATATAGGTAGGTACATTGTTATTAACTTAATTAGGGTACTCCTAAGGCTTAAGAAGAGCCACACTCAAGGGGCCAAAGAGCCGCATGTGGCTCGCGAGCCGCAGTTTGCCGACCACTGGTTTAGGACATAGTAAAATTGAGATGCCTATTAGATGTGCAAGTGGAGAATTTACGTAGTAAGTACATAATATGGATCTGGAGTAGAGATGAAAGGTATTGGCTGGAGATACAAATTTGGAAGTGACCAGTGTTTAAATAATATGAGATGAAACTGAATCAGATTTCAGAAGAGGTAAATATTGATAGAGAAGTGGTAAGAGGGTAGGGCTCTGAGGCACTCTGAGGTCAGAAAAATAAGGATGAGCCAGAAAGAGGGAGACCAACAGAGAAGAATGATTACTGAAGTTGGAAGCAAACCCAGTGTATATCTTGAAAAGGGTCCATTTCAAAGTAGGAGGAGTGATTACATCAAATAATACTTTTGACTAAGAAGAAGAATATTGAGATGACTTTTGGATTTTAAAATGTAGTGGTCATTACTGATCCTTCCCAGAATCATTTTCAGTAGTATAAGGTGAAGATTTGGGGAAGAAAAAAAAAGATTTTTTTGGATTCAAGAGAAAATGGAAAGAGAGGAATTAGAGTGAGAAAATAGGGATAATTTTTTAAGGATTTTTTTTTTTGAGAGGAGGGCATTATCTGGAGGGAAATGTGGGGTCAGCAGAAAGCTTTTTTTCTAATGAAAGAAATTACAACATGTTTGTACACTTAGAAGAATGAGTTACTAGAGAATGGACAGTTGTTAGAGCAGTGACCTTAAGGTCAGAGAGGATGGGATGTAGTATGCAAGTGGAGAGATTAGCCTTAAGAAGGAGCATGGACAATTCACTTACAGTAACAGAAGGGATGATAGGATATGGTGAAGGCACTGTGTAGATAATGGTGATGGGAACAACGGAAAATTCTCTTGTTATTGCTTCAGTGTTTTGTCAGCAGCAGAGATACAGGCTTATCTGGTAAAAATGAGGATTTGTGGAAGGGGTGTTCAATGTTTGAGAAGAGAGGAGGAAGTCTGAAGTAGTCATTTGGAGGTGAATAAACTAGGGAAAGGAGTAGGATTTCTAGGCAGTATCTATAGGGAAATGTGGAGTCAAGAGAGTACTTTTATTTCAAGATGGGAGAAATTACAGCATTATATATGCTGATAGGAATGAGTTAGTAAAGTGAAAAATTGATGACGGGGGAAGAGATAACATTTCCAGCTTTTCTTGAGGTTAATGGCCATGGGTTTAAAATAAGTCATTTTGCTCTGGTGTGTTTCTCTTGCCCTTGTTAGGTATTCATGTGTTTATGAAGAGTAGCTACTGTTGGATTTTACAGAGGTTGAGATTATATCAGGGGATAGGCAGGGACAAGGAAAGTGAGAGTGTACTTGAGGGAGGGAGTGTCTTGATGGACCATGGATCTAAGGAGAGATGGGAGACAGTGGTGGGTAAGGGATGGTATAAAGGAAATGAAGAAATGATAGAAAAATTAGCAGTTTTACTAATAAAAATGGATAATTACCAACACAATCTATAGAAACATACCTAACATGTTACTTTTGGATGTAAAGAATAGTACCCATTTTTAATTAGGAAAGTTTGTTTTCTGGATTCTTCTGCTCAAAAGGATACTTTTCAGCGATTGTGAAGTATTCCTCTAAATAAATTTTTTTTTTATTTCTGTTTTTTATTTTTAGGGAAATTAGACATCTTTGAAATAATAAAATTTTATTGACTGTAGGGAGAAGACAGTAATGTCATTTAATACATAATGCAACCATAAATTTTGGTAATTAACCTCTATGGAAGTTCTTTCCTTTTTGATTTAGTATTGAGTCCAGGATCACTTACTAGCTTTTTTATCTCTTTTTTCTTCTTTAATCTGGGACAGCATCTCAGACATTCTTTGTATTTGTTGACATTGATTGTGAAGAGTGCATTCTAATTGTTTTGTTGATGTTTCCTTGTTATTAGATTCAGGTTTTGGTTTTTGGGCAGGAATATTATGTAAGTGATGTTTTGTCCTTACTACATCATCCTGGAGGTACATGATGTCACTTTGTCCCATTATTAGTGACTAGAGGCCTGATGCACAAAACTCGTGCACGGGGGCGGGGAGGGGTCCCCTCAGCCTAGCCTGCACCCTCTCTAATCTGGGACCCCTTGGGGGATCGGGCCTAAACCAGCAGTCGGACATTCCTCTCACAATCCTGGACCACTGACTCCTATTCGCTCGCCTGCCTGCCTGGTCGCCCCTAACTGCCCCCACTCCTGCCGGCCTGATCGCCCCTCACTGCCTCTGTGTGTCGGTTTGATCGCCCTTAACTGCCTCCCCTGCCGGCCTGG